TGTATTGAAAATCCTGATTTTGGTTTTGTTTGAAAGTTGTCTGGAGTTCCAGATATTTTTCAACTGTAGAAATGCAGCCCTCGCCTTGCCAATCCGCGCCCTCACATCTGCATCCGATCCACCTTTCTCGTCGATGATGCTGCCCAGATATGTAAAGGTGTTAACGTTCTCCAAAGCATATCCATCAAGAGTGATTTGGTTGGTGCATGTTGTGGAGTTGCATCGGAGAATTTCGCTTTTTCCTTTATGTATGTTGAGACCTACTGCTGCAGAGGCTGCTGCTACACTGGTCGTCTTCTCTTGCATTTGTTGTTGTGTGTGCGACAGAAGAGCCAGGTCAACTGCAAAGTCCAGATCGTCCAGCTGCGTCCTAACTGTCCAGTTGATACCGTGCTTCCCTCCAGATGTTGACGTCTTCATAATCCAGTCGATCACCAGGAGAAAGAGAAAGGGTGAGAGTAAGCAACCTTGCCTGACACCGGTCTTCACCTCGAAAGAGTCTGTCAGCTGACCTCCGTGCACGATTTTGCAGTCGAATCCATCATAAGAATTCCGTATGATGTTAACTATTTTCTCAGGCACACCGTAGTGTCGACGAAGCCTCCACAGTGTTTTCCTATCCACGCTATCAAATGCTTTCTCGTAGTCGATGAAGTTGATGTAGAGTGGTGAGTTCCATTCAATTGATTGTTCCACAATGATCCGTAATGTAGCAATTTGGTCAGTACACGATCGATCCTTACGAAATCCGGCCTGTTGATCTCGAAGTTGGATGTCTACGAAGTCCTTCATTCTGTTTAACAATACTCTGTTGAAGACTTTGCCTGGTATTGAAAGAAGAGTGATGCCTGTGTAGTTCTCACACTTGCTCAGCTCGCCTTTCTTTGGTATTTTGATCAGGTATCCTTCTTTCTAATCTGATGGTACTTGTTCCTCATTCCAAATCTTCTTGAAGAGGATGTAAAATATTTTCGCAGTTGCTTCTACATCTGCTTTCATTGCCTCTGCTGGAATGTTGTCTGGTCCTGCTGCTTTGCTTTTCCTTAAAGTGCTCTACCCACCTATTTCGCTGTTCTTCAGTGTTGCTGATTATTTTCCCTTCCTTGCTTTTCACTGGTCGTTCTGGTTTACGATAGTTTCCAGCGAGCTTCTTTGTTCTATCGTACAATTGTCTCATGTTTCTTTCTCTTGCAGCCTTTTCCGCCGTCATTGCTAGATCTTTCACATATTTTCGTTTGTCAGCTCTGATGCTCTTCTTCACTTCCCTGTTTGCTTCTGTGTATGCAGCTTGTGCGGCAACTTTCTCTGCTCTTGTTCGGCTGACATTCACTGCTGCCTTCTTGTTGCTCCTTTCTTCAATTTTTTCAAGAGTACCAACAGAGATCCGTTCCTTGTGATGGTACTTCTCGTGACCCAGAACTTCGTGACATGTTGAAGTGATTGCCTCCTTGATCCATTTCCAATTGTTCTCCAATGTTGCTTCCTCTCCATTGAGTAGATCCTGAAAGGCCTGGAACCTATTGGTGAGGACTATCCTGAATTCGTTGATTTTTACGGTATCCCGAAGAAGGGCCGTATTAAACTTGTGTGATGTTGTCTGTCCCGTTGTCCAGTGCTTCTTGAGTTTGAGTTTCATTTTGGCGAGCAGCAAGTGGTGATCTGAGGCTATATCAGTTCCTCTCTTGGTTCTCACATCCTCCATAGTCCTTCTGGACTTTTTGTTGATACAGATATGGTCAATCTGGTTTTGAGTAGTGTTGTCCGGGGAAATCCATGTGGCTTTGTGAATGCGTTTGTGCGGGAATATTGTGCCACCGATGACCAGTTTGTTGAAGGCACATAGGTTTGCAAATCTCTCACCGTTTTCGTTCCTTTCTCCCAGTCCATGTCGTGCCATGATGTCTTCATATCCAGTGTTGTCCATTCCAACCTTGGCATTCAGGTCTCCCATAAGAATCGTCAAATCCTTTGGTGAACATTTATCGACGATTGACTACAGCCTTTCGTAGAATTGATCTTTAACGTCGTCATTGTAGTCATTGGTAGGTGCATAACATTGGATGACGTTCATTGTAATGTCCTGTTTCTTTGTTTTGAAGGATGCTTTAATGATCCTCGGTCCATGAGATTTCCATCGTATCAGTGCCTTTTGTGTATGTTTGGACAGCATCAGTGCAACTGCTTGTGTATGTGAAGCATTTTCCTCTTCATGACCAGAGTATAACAGTAGTTCCCCTGAAGCAAGTCTCAGTTGTCCTACCTGTGTCCAATGCGTTTCACTGATTCCAAGCACCTCGAGGTTGTATCTTTTCATTTCTGCCGCAACTTGAAATAGTCTTCCAGTCTCCCACAATGTACGAACGTTCCATGTACCTAAAAGAATGGTTGCTCTGGTTGTCAGAAGAGGCATCGGCCTCGTGACTTCCGAGGGAACTCGGCTTTCATCACGTGACGTCATAATTCTTCTTCCAACTCCCAGGGCAGAGTTAAAATGGTTTGAATTATTTTTTCTGGTTAGCGTTTTTTTTTGGCAAGTTAGATTTCAACGGAATGGGGTCGCCAACCCCATGTCCAACCCTCCTCCTTTATCCGGCCTTGGGACTGGCAGTAGCCCCTAAGGTTCTACTGGCGGAGTTATGATATTTAAGAAGAAGCTAATAATTTGAAACTTAATTGAATTGATATTTTGAAATGATTTTTTAACTCAAAATAATAAATTCATACAATGATGCATGATTTATAGACAAACAGTCCAACTAGCACCGATATAACACTGATGAGCATGTAGGCTTGTCTTACAGGAAGTTTTAGTTGGTTATTGGTAGTTATCATTTGACCTGGAACAAATATATATGAGTCTAGGTAGCCGTTTTCCTCGTTCGCTTGATGAGGATAGTAACAATATATGCAGCACAATACAGGGCTAACGTGATTATTTCGCTATGATTGATTTAATCAAGTTTACATAGTTTGATTCGTCACAGACAGTAAGTAAATGATTTCACAGGTTCGTGTCTTTAGGCTATGGCTGAAAACCTGGGACGTGTATTTTAATTACCTCAGCTGCTGCACATTTGTAATTCGACTGGCTGGCTCAGGATTACGCACTGAATGCTTCTGCCATACAAAAGCAACACTTTCTATCAAATTTTCGAAAACTAAGCATGTCTTATACTTTAATTCACATCTCCGTACAGTTATGTAGTAATACTGAAAGAACTAATGTACCATATACTTATCTCTTTATCGAGACCGTTCCAGCTTTGGCATTCCTATCAGACCTGATAAAACTACTCAGCATAGTTCAAATGTTGGCCCAGTGGTCCAAAGGTTAGGCGCTCACGCACAATACCGAAGGTCCCGGGTTCGAATCCTGCGAGACGCAGGAGCCGTGGATGCCCACTGTCACTGATGAGTCCCATACCATGACGAAACGGCCGTCCAGTGCTTCCAGGTTGCTAATAGTGGTCTAAAAATGATCGATTGATGATTTCAAATGTGTAAAAACACTAATCTCCATAATAATGTCTAAGACACTATCCTTATATCATATTGTCGAATAGCATAAACCGTTCAATGCATGAATCTTGAATACATTGTCATTTACATCTACTTATCAACTAAACTTCAAAAAACGTAATTTATCAAACTAGCTTATCTATAAATTTTAATGATGAATGATCAAAGAATACACTCTTATCCTCAAGTAAACAGTGAACCCTTTTATCTTCATTATCGTCTGTGTACATTATCTATCTAGCAATAAGCAATAAAGTGACTAGGTTGCATACAACCGACAAAAATGATGATTTTTTTTATTGCGGTCAACTGAGATAAGCTAATGAATAAGTTTACCGAAAATATGTGCAACAGAAAATAAATCTATGGTCAAATATGAAATAACTGAATGTAAACAAACGTCACATACACCTAAATACAGTCCAGAAAGTCTACTGTAAACAGTTTTCAACAAACAATAACCTAACCTCCAAGGTTTTTTTTTATGTCCACAATAGAGCGGTTAGTTATTGTTTTAACCTTTCTTCTATGTCTGTTCTCTAGACATTTCTTTTTTTTTGTTGTTGGAAATTCTTACTTTTTAATCAACAATAAAAAACATTATTGTCACATCATCATCATCATCATCATCATCATCTGCAACATCATCAGTGTGCATTTGAAATAAACAAAGCATTTACTATTCACTTTGCTTGCCCTTAAAATAAAAAAAATCATATCAACAGATGGTGTATGATGCTTTTAAAAAACAAACCTATAGACTACTGACCACCCAATAAGACAAAGGCGTAATTGGCCAGAACGATGATAACAATTACACAGACAACATTTTGAAAAAAACAAAACACACATTTTTTTTCCAGATTATGGTATATACCCATTAGTAAATTTTCCATACAACCGCACACACACACACACGTACACATACATACACATACACACACACACACGCACAACTGTGATTAGCTGAAACAAGAAATATAAAAAAAAAGAAGAAGCATGCATACACGCCAACCAAACCCCTTCGAATAAAAATCTCCAATAGAATTGTCAAATAATTCAGGACAAGTAAAAAGAGAAAAATTCACATCTTTCATAACATTTCGGTTGAAAAGCATTCAAATGTGTCATGAAGCGTTTATCTCAATTGGTGCATAATTGTATGCCGGTCTGTTTGTGTACGATAATCTGTTATTTAAGTTGTTTAATAATTATGTTTGTGGAATAATCTATCTGAACACTGAATTATGTAAATGTTTATACATCAGTGTGTATGTGTGTGTATGTGTATGTCTAGAAACTAATGAACAAGCTTATTTTCAAAACAATAATTAAAAAAAACCGCATTTTGTGTATGGGCATGTTTTATGCATGATTTAAGCTTATAGATCTACATTTACCATACCAACCAAACAAAGTAAATAATTCAAATGTATTTACAAGTAATCCATATGATTACATGAGTCCAAACCAAATTTAACATGCATTTTACATCAGTCTCAATGCAAAACTGTAAATATTTCACTTTGTTTACGGCATTATTCTCTTCATTATTCTTTCAATCAATATTACAGCTGGTGTTTTATGTTGATGTCAATGTCTATTATGTAACTGGTCAACTTGTAAATACTCCTCATGAAATTAATTATCCGTTCAGTAAATCACGCACAACATTCTATCAACCTTTAATTATTTCATTTAATTCAAAATTGGATTATAGCAGTGAATTTAAACGGAGGCAAACAAGAAGTACGTCAGTTAGATCATTAACTGCACTACATAAATGTCCACAAGTAAGTTTGAATTGAATCGATTAAAGCTAATTAAATTGACATTGATCGGTAGGCGTTTTTTTTTTTTCATAGTTGAGAATGATGATTAGATGTGCAAGTAGAATTCAATTTGTGTCTGTGAGTTAAAAAGTTGCAGATGAGATCCAGTTCAGGAAATGATTTCCTTAGAGAATTAGTTAAAAAATAGTCTAGAATTGTGAGTGATCTTTTCTATGTGTTATTATAGTTTTGATTGTTTAAGAGTAGTGATTTCTTACCACGTGGATGGATGAAGTTTGATGATATTTTGCATTGACTGAATCGCATCATGGTTGAGTTTCTTCATTTACAATTGTCACTTATTTAATATCCCGTTTATTTCGTTAATAAAATTCTCAGTCGAATTGATTGAACTCTTCATACTATGAAAAATAAATTAGTTTTTAACTGAAGATATTATATTCAATCTATACACGTAGATATATCTAATGCGAACAGGTATAATTTTTAGATTAAGCATCAAAATCTAACTGGCGATATGTAGTTAACAAATAGGATATTTAAAATATACAATGGTATTTTTGCTATGGAGTAACAGATGGATTTCTATTTCTGGTAGATAAACATCTACGCAGATTGGTTTATTTTCACGAATTCCAGTTCAATTTTACAAAATAAAACTAAAAATAACTTGAGTAATTGATAATCGCACTCAATTAGGATAAAATGAACTTTCTAATTGTCTCTCATCGATAACATGAATGAGTGAAGTTAGCTTTTATGATTAAATTAGCTTTTTTTCTGACTAAGTAACATGCCGGTCTACTTGTAATGTAAATCCTGTTTAGTCAATGAAAAATGTGTCTAAAGACTAACAACAGTTAACTGATTGGAAGTTTCAATTGCTTCCTGAGTAAAAGACATAAAATTTAAGAACAAAAAAAAGGAAGTTTAATTTAAATTAGAATTAAATAGAACAGAAAAAAAAATTGATCATTTATGTTGATAGTGAAAAAAATTTCTCTGTTTATATAATGATTATCATCATAATTGCCAAGAAAAAAAATATTAATTTCATCAGTTTATAATAATTTTCTGTTAAAAAGGTTTGGTGTTGAATTATAATTTTTTTGACTAAAATAAAATCTTTTGCTTGGACAAAGAATTATGAATCACATAGAATGATAGGAAACTATTGCTAAAATCACACTTGTTCAATAGTTTTCAGACGATTTCTAAGCAATGTATACAATGAAATGAAGGTAGAAAATGTCTACTGTGAACATATGAAACGATTAGTTTTCACTGCTAATGAATGTTAAATAATTCAATGACAAAATAAGTAATTCTTATAGACGATACGAAAAAAGAAATACGATCAACTTCAAAAGAACCATAACACACTAACTGAAGCTAACAAATGATCAGTTTAATTATCATAAATACAACAACTATGAAAACATTGACAATAATAAAAAATCTAGTGTTGATGAATGTCATTCAGTATTCCAGCTTAGTAGAAACTGCTATTCAACTAAACATGACAATCGTTTACTGTGCTCCCGGTTAAATTATGTTTAATAACTATGATATCTTGGTGAATGCAAGCTAGTTGATAATATAATAAGCATATAACTGAGTAATGTATTGAAAATACAGACATCACAACTAATATTCAAGTAAAAAAAAACGACTCGAAATACTGTTCATATTGAATTCCAGTTGATACTGACAAAACTGTACCGTTTCCTGTGATCATATATATATATACAATAGTTATATTTAATGAGAAGGATGTCATTGAAAATACAAACTTTGTTGAATACTTCTCAGGGATTTTTTTTTCCATAAGTCTTAAAAGACACAAATAGTTACCGTTAAAACAAAATATTCCTCAAAATCTATTTGTGTTTACTAGGAAATACAGAAATTGCCATTTCAATTATCATTAAAATTCAACAACAGTTTCTTTGTACAATGTCAAACATAAAAATGTAATCATAAAAATGAGTTACTTGTAATGTCAACTAGCAGACAATATTCAATGTACAATATGCGATCGATAACATGAAAGCTTTTACTCATGGTCACATCAAGCTATGTATACTTGTTTAAAAAAATAGGTTTTTTTTTAAAAAAAGTTTCAAGTTCCAGGCGCAAAAATCAACTGATCTTGAATAAGTGGACATAGCCATAAAGTATCCAAGATTTTTCAATTCATAAAAAGCTTTCACAACAAGATTAGATAAAGATATGTGATTATTTTCTTAAACGGATATGATAATTTATTGGAAATGACTTAAACACTTGTAATATGAAACTTCTACTTCAAAACTATCCATTGAGTAGTGAGATTAAATTTAAATTTTCAACTATTTTCTCTGTGAACAAAATATAGATCGGTCGATGTATGTATTCTACAACTGGTCGAATGTTCACTATGTATGGATAGGTTGTATAGTATGAAGTTTGTTTCCTTCTATTTATATACGCGTAGTGTGTTATTTTACTAGATAGGAATAAGCTTATCTCCTGTTGCATTGTACTATTGAGTAAACTAGAAATAAGGATGCTTGAGGTCATTGATTCGGTTTTCACGAATAACTGGCATTCCAGCATACTTTACACTGACTATAACAATCAGACATATAGATGTCAATTAAGAATGATGCCCCTATTTAAATGATCAAGGTTAAACTCAGCATATTAAATAATATAGTAATGAAGAATAGTTCATTTTTATTTTCAGTACTATGTGACAATATCTAGTTCTTTTGCCAAACATTCATTATTTAGCGCATAATTTCCAAGTTTATAATCCTTTTTAATTTAAAAAAAATTTTTCATCGTTGAAAAAAATTTTCATGAAATTTTAATAGCAAATTGCATGCAAAGTATTCTTTTCACTGTTCCATTAAAACTGTCTAAAAATTTTCTCAAATTAAAAATGTGAATATTTCACTCTTAATGGTTTCATTACTCAAAATTAGTCGACACATGTGTTGGTTACTTTTTCTCTCTCTCTCCCTCTCTCTACCAACTTTCATAACTAACAGTCAGTCATCTCAATTTAGCTGATAGATTTTTTATTCATTTTGAAAGTGAAGGGAACAATAAACAATGGAAACGCTTGAATTAGAATGAATTTGAGTAAGTTATAAATCCAAACAATCTCTCTTATTCATTATGAACATTTTGCATTCAGAACAACAATGAAGTTATATATTTTCATTGATTACTGAACAAAGCAGAATTCCAGTAAAGATAATGCCTATAAACAGAATAATGACAGAGCTTTCTTTAAATAGTCGATAAATTAATAATAGAGTTTAAACAGTGTCTTACTATATATATATATATATATATATATATATATATATATATATATATATATATTTATGACAGGTAACTACGCTGATATTTCTGGTTTGAAAATTTCCTCCCTCGTCACAGCAGTGAACAATGCACTAATTGGAATTCTTTGAATATAGAGAACATTTCGCCTTATTACTAAGTTAAAAAACCAATGTATTGAAAAGAAATTACTGCCTATCTCATTAGACACTTGGACATGTTATCAAATTACAAAGATTATAAATCAAGACTGAATTCATTTGAAAAATTTACTCATTGTTTGATCCAATAATATAAACCATTATTTACAATTAGTTAAACAATCATTTTATACACCTCTATATTAAATAACATATATTAAACTCTAAACATAAGGGTAGCATTTGTGCTCATGTCCAAAAAATGACTCAAATACACAAAAAACCTTGTTTGATTTTTACTGTAATCTATACGAAAAAAGCTTTCACTGTGAAGTTTTTAAATGGCACGTTTATTGTGTTTAACCAATTTGTAAATGAATATATTTTAAAATCTTATTTTTGGCCTATCATAAATCGGTATTAACTGGAAAACATGAACTCATCTCATCTACTGCAGATACAAACATGAATGTTACTTTGTTGCATATTAAAACAATGACATCGATTACTAGTTGTTCAATGTTTCGATGAATCCGCAAATAGAAAAAAAAAGACATTTTTTTTCCAAAAGCTCTGAAACTTGCAATCAATAATTGTATTTATTCACGTAAAAAGATACCATATACAATGCTCAGGAAATTATCATCTATACGATTTAGTTCAGATAAAAAAAAATCAAAAACGATGAATAGTTGAGTAGATAACTCTGTAATAAATAATATGACTAAAGGATCGAGCAAAGACCATCGAATTTACCGTCGAAATATATTTCGTCAATATTTCAGATCTTAAATTTGAGTTAATTTAGGCTAAAAGAATAAATGAAGTAACAAAAATATTACGAAGTTTAACAAGCTTTTTATATCGCTCATTTTTTAGCATGTTTATTAGTAGCTAGACTTCGCGATAGCTTTTCATTCAGTCCAGAGTTTATATATTGAACCATTGCATAGTGTGTTGTCATTGTTTCCGCTGAGATTTAAGTTTATTTTGATTTGTTTACAAATCGTGAAAATTCTCTCGACTAATCTCAATGATTCAGTTATTGTTGGCAGAATACAAATCAAAATCAACAGCTTTAAACTTGTCTTCTACATTTTTTCAGTTAACTAACTGACCACTGCGTAGATTATTAGTTAAAAACGATATACATAATCACATCGATCTTATATATGTCTATAATTTTAGGCACTTCTATGAAATAAAAACCATTTGTAGTCATTACAGTTTGCAATATGAAAAACAAACATTCCATCTAAAACCTTCTTTATTCCACACAGTATTAAAATAAAGCATTCAAAATGTTTACTTCAGGACTATTTGTTTTATGCCATATATGTTCCAATGGTCCGATTAATTACTGTGATACTACTCAGTAGTAACATGGCTCCGTAGAAATAACATCTAACGTACCTAGGTGGTGTTCAACTGCAAAACTCACTGAGCTGGACGAAAATGAGGTTTGTGTTTCAGTCCGCTCTAGTTTATTGCATTCTCCCATAGAACTGTTATCAGCCAACTGATACT